CTTAAATGTGGTCCTCAGGAGAATAAATAGTGCATAATGTGAAACGAGAAAGGAGATTTGAAATGCACCCAGTAAAAGCTCCTTTCAGCCCAACTTCTATACCAGAACATCCTAGTTGGTAGGATCTGAATGCAATTTGCAAAGATTAAAACCTGTTGCAAGAAAATTAGCCCAAGCACAAGACTTTAATCATTTAAGAGGCTCCTGGCTTCTTCAGGTCTTGTCAACAGCAACTCCTCACCAATGAGGTCCTGAGGAGAGATTCCAGGTCACTTGATAAATATTGATCATTTTGCAGTAAGCAAAACTTTCACATATATTAATTATTAAATAGCAAGTGAGAGTGGCTGCTCTGGGTCTGCAAACTAAGAATTCAAAAATAATATTTCCAAACGGTTCCCTTTTGTAGAATGATCAAAGATATGGTTGCCAAAGCACTCTGGGGAGTTTTAATTAGACATATGCCAAAGTGGCTGAAAACTGCCCAGTGACCGAAGAGCTCTGTGCCGCAGACGCCTGCTTTGTTGATTGCTATGTCTGTTTAAGCAGGAATTGTGTGGGGCTGCCTTTTCAAGCCATGCCCTGGGATAAGGGAAGGAGGGAGCTGGAACTTGGGGTGACTTTGCCTCAAGAATGCCCATTTTACAACAGTGTTTCATTCTCTACTGTAGCCAGGATGGACAGGCAAGATGGGAGGCGTGGGGAGGGCTGGCCACAGCCCCAAGGCATCTAGGTGTGCACAGGAGATGAGGCTGAGTTACTCCAGTGGGGACTTCAGAGCATGGGTGGGAAGGACTCTGTGAGGGCTGGAAAGAGGGTAGAAGTGTCTGGGTGCAGGTCTTGGATGTCAAAGCAGCCAGTGAATCTACCACTCTCAGGCCATGTGATCTTGGAGGGTGACTTCATCTCAGTGTCTCATCTTGGAGGTGGGCTTGCTGTGCTATTAACATCAAACGGTGTAAGGCTGAACGCAGAAAGGCTGAGGCTCAGGCAGAGGAGTCTGAAGAGGGCTGATGCTTACTTCAGTTCAGGAATACCCGTGTCTGGATGACACCAAGTCCCCAGGGCTGCAAGTGCCCGGCAGGGCTGTGGCCTCCAGGGGCTATTCCAGGACAGCCCAGAGGCCACTGCTCATCCTCCTCCCGCAGTGATCTGAAGCTGTACTCTTGTCGATCAGAGGACTCCTGGTGGTGCCTGTCAACATTTCCAGCCCACATCACCAAAGCGGAGCCCCTAGGATTGGCCTTAGAGCCTGTGCTGAGAGGAGATTTTGGGGGATGACGCAGGCCATGAAGACCCCAGGGTCATGGAGGAGAGGGAGGAAGAAATGGCTAAACTTTCAAACTGCATCTCAACCTCCTGCTAACTCTTCATCCTGCCTCTTTAGTTTTCTAGAATCTTTCCTAATCCAGCTTCACAATCCCTGCCAGAGGGGGCTTTCAAAATCCCGGACCTAAACATGACCTGGGGTTGCACATCCTCATCTCCCATAGAACCAAATCCACCAGGTCCTGTGGCCTCCAGGCCTGGTCCAGTTGCCCTTCTAGGCTCTTTGGCCGCTCCCCACTGTGCCCCCCAGGATTAGCCACCCTCTGACTCCTGGAAGCTCCCTGAGCATGGCCTGCTTTTGATGTCTCACAACTTTCACACATGCTGTTTCCTCTCCCTGGAATGCCCTTTACTCCTTCCAAAGAGACCAGGCTCCCAGGTTCTTAACATTCATTCCCAGTTAAGTACATTGTCTTCTGAGAAGCCACCAGCCCTGCCCACCCCTAGCTGCACCACCACCAACTTCCTGCACTGTTCCATTCACAGAGGGCAGGGCAAGCTGAACCCAGAGGCCCAGCAGGTCTGGCTGAGGGCAGTAGAAAATGGTCCCTTATGACTCACATAGACCCTGAAGACAGTCTCAGGCATGAAGCCCATTTCACTCCAGCAAAGTCAGCCCCACTCACCTCCACGGAGCCCAGAATATGCACGCAGGATGCTGCTGTCTCCAACCTACAAGCCTACTTTGCACCTAGTCCATCTTGAGAAACGGCAGCCATCCCTCACCAGGCATGAACCTAACTCCTCCCACACCACACACCCCAGGCCTCCCTCTGCCTCTCAACTTGGAGGAAAGGAGGGAAATGTAGCCCTATCCTCTGTCCCCTGAGCTGGAAATCTGGCAGAGGAAAGTGATGAAGGCTTCTCCAGGCACAGTGTCGAGTCAGCAGCAGCTCCCAGCTGGCGCATCTGGTGTTTCCACAGAGAGGGAGGTAGGAGGACGAACACGCTGTGTCTCAAGCCTCAGCCCTGACCTCTGGCCTTCTCCCATGTGGCCACTTCCAACATAACTTCAGTGATGAGAAGTAAGAGAGAATTGGAACTATTTCATGACTAATGACCAACAGGAGCACCTTGGGCATGTTCATTAACTTCTCTGTGACTCAGTTTCCTCAGCTATGAGGTCAGGTGGTACCTATCACATCTGGTTGTGGTGAGGATTAAATGAGTTAATATATGCCTGACACGCAGTAAGTACTATATGAATGTTAGCTGTTATTCCTATTGGGACAGAACTTTATAGTTTATAGCACATGCCAAAGGTTACATAGACAGGAAGGGGCAGGAGCCATGAGTCCTTTGCATGAGTTCCCTTTCATTGAACCCCTGACACTTTGCAGAGCAAGCTGGGACTCACAGAGCGGCCACCTGCATCCTCCATCTGCCCTCAGAAATGCTCCCATTTGTTTCCTGGGCTCCTCTCCACCATCTGCTTTCCTGTGTTCACACAGCCCTGGTTGAGGCTCTTGGTTCTGCTTTCTAACTAGCTCCTAAGTCCATGACCTTGTTTTGAACTTGCAGCTCAGTATTGACCTTCACCGTTTATTTACGACCTAAGAGTCTCTGTCAGTCCTCTAACTCTGCACACCCACACCACAGTCAAAGGTGCCCTATGCCCATGGAATACGATGTAGCTGGGACTCCCCTTACCAGCACCCTTTCTACAGGGAGAGTAACTGGACGCCAGGACTGGAATGAAGGTATAGCCAGCTTCCAAAGTTCCTTGCAGTGGCCCCAGCAGCCTCCTCCTCACCAGGGGAGAAGCAGCTTGCCGTGAGGCTGGAGTCAGGGGCTCCTGCCACTCAGTCCCATGAATACAGGTGTTCCCTCCTGAACTTCCCTGGGAGTGTCCACCATGTACAGCCCCAGGCAGCCCTGAGGCTCCACAACCCCATGGGCTCCCTCACTTCCTGTTATTAACACTTTACCTGCTCCATCTGGGAGGTAGGCATCCCTATCTGTGGGTGAAAATGGATCCTACCTTAGCAGATTTCCTGGTGACTAGGAGACCTCTGGGCAGAGGCAGAAGTTCTCCTCAAAGCTAGGCATCTAGATCCTTGGCCACTATTCTATAATGGGAGCTATGAGGGGCCAGTGAAGAGCAGGAAGTCAAATATGGGCCCCTGAATTAACAGAGACTTAATAAAGGAATGTCCCACGGTCACTAGTGTGAGGACTGCCTTTTGCCAAATGGCCCCAAGATGCTGCCCGGCAAGGAAACTTCTTCTCCCAGAGTGACCCAATACTGGGCAGAAGGCAGAGAGGGTTGCAGATCAGAGACCCAGCACTGTCTACACCTGGGAGACTGGGGGCTCCATCTCGTGAGCAGAGGCTTGTATAGGAGAAACGTGAAGGTTTAAAGTCAGAAAGACCCGAGTTTAAATCCCAGCCCCACCCCTAGCTGTGAGACTCTGGACAGGGGACTCCCCTCTCTGAGCCTCAGTTTCCTTATATCTAAAAATTAAGTACAATAATAAAATCATTATAGTAAAACAACAACAATAATAAACTCCCTCAAAGCCAATATCACAGGGATCAATAGTTAACACACGAGACCCACGGCACATGGTAGGTGATCGGCAAATCCCTGAGAAGCAGCCTGGAGCCACAGCCTCACTACTGCCAGTCTCTCTCCTTCCTCTCTCCTCCATCCCCTCCCTGGCCCCTGAGGCCACGCTCCTCGTTTTCCAACACGGCTGCCACTGTGCCCGGGCTCGGGCTGTTACCTGAGAGAACTGCCAGTGAAGCTTCATCCTCTTGGCTTTGGCGTAGCTGCACTCGATGAGCCGGGGCCGGCTGTTGACGTCCACCAGGCACCGGTTGTCATCGTCATCCACCGTGGGGCTCAGGATGCCCACATGGATCTGCTGACTGCTCGTGTAGTACACGTTCTGGGGGCGGAGGGAGGGAGAGAGTGTGGATAAATGCCAATGGCCACAGAGACAGGAGGGTAGGTGGTGATTCTCCTGGGCAGCTGGCAGAGAGGCCACAGTTAGAGAAGACCCTGGAGTCTTCACATCCAGTGGCCTTCAGATTATTTTCTATTGCAATAGACAAAAAGAAATCCTTTTACATTATGATCCAGTATAGTGTCTAGTCCACCTGTATAACTACAAGAAATAAAACACCCTTACATATGTAATATACACTGATTTCTATTCTAATCTTTCATTGGAAAACATTGATCATAACCTTTTAAATTTATTTCTTCACCCAGTTTACAAACCTCTCTTTTTTTTTTCAGAGACAGAGTCTTGCTCTGTTGCCCAGCCTGGAGTGCAGTGGCGCATCTTGGCTCACTGCAACCTTCCACCTCCCAGGTTCAAGTGATTCTCCTTCCTCCACCTCATGAATAGCTGGGATTACAAGTGTGCACCACCATGCCCAGCTAATTTTTGTATTTTTAGTAGAGACGGGAGTTTCACCATGATGGTCAGGTTGGTCTCAAACTCCTGACCTCATGATCTGCCCGCCTTTAATCCACTATTTACAGATTCCCCGATTTCCTCCCTTCATAAATATTTCATGTCAGATACTGTGCTTTGTCAGAGCAAAAAGCCTGGACGGTGCCTTCAGGAAGCACAGTCTTGTGGGATGGGAGGTGTGTAACATCATTTCCATGCACACTACGACTGTGCAGAGGAGGAGGTGGCAAACTTTTTCTTAAAGGGCAGGTTGACAAATATGTTTGGTTTTGTGGGTGTGCTGGGGAGTCTCCAAGACCACCCCTCAGCTAGATGATTTTCTATGGGGACTCACAGGACTCAGCACATAACTGTACTTACTGCTATGATTTATGACAGCAAAAGGATACAAAACAAACCCAAAAGGAAAAAGAAGGGGAAACCAGGCCCAGGCTTCCAAGGGTCCCCTCTCGGGGGAGTTGCACAGGACATGCTCAATTCCTCTGAGTTGTGACAACACATGAGAATTGCTGTCTATCTAACGAGAAGCACATTAGAGACACAGCACCCACGGTTTTTACAGGGGGCTGTCACATAGGCAGCCTCTGCCTAGTATGCACCAAAATCCTAGACTTCCAGAAGGAAAGTGAGTGGCAAACCTAGGCTGTTTTGTTTGTATAATCAGATTAAGCACAGAGAGCCACTCTTATCAGTTCTGCTGGGAATCCTGAGACCTAGGCTCTTGGATGCCAACCTTGTAAGCAAGCCTTTCGAGGACAGCAGCCAGGCCCGCTCTGCAAACTCCTTTCTACACAGAGGACCATACAGCCTCTGAAAACTCACTCTCCTACTGTAGTGCAAACACATCCCAGAAAAGAAAAACATAAACAAATGGCTATGTTTCATGAACACATCATTTACAAAAGTAGGAGTCTCCTATGGGCGGTAGTTTGGGCCTGGCCTAGGGGAAAGACACGTGACTCTTGGCCTTCAACATTTTCAGCAACTTCCCTTAGCCATGATCCGTGGTTCCTAATCAGGGCTCCAAGTGAAAAGTCTTAGGGTTCTGTGAACTCTTCTCCTCACATTGCTAAAGGCATTAACATGCTGCTACCCTCATCATTAGTGCCCCCCTGCCCCAGTGCTTAGGCCCCAGAAACAAACCAAGATACCACACTTTTCCACTTTAGGTTAGAATATTCAGGGTGTTCTCTCTGGTTATCTTGACATGTTCACAAATTCTCATTGGCAAATATTTTTGATTAATTCAAAATGGCAAAATGATGTATTTTTTGCTTTAGTAAAAGAGGATGGTTGACAAGTACTTTTTAAACCTGTGTGCCAGGCCATTAAAGGGACAGAAGTGGAAAGAAGGCAGTGCAGATGAGGAGGGCGAGTAAGGGTGGTCCTTTATGGCAGATTCTTCCTGATGCTCAGAAGTCTCTTTAGCCTCTTGGGAGGGGGTGGAGGGCAGGCAGGGTGTTCCCTTAGGAACAGTCAAGACTTCAACAGGAAAGAGAGGACCCACTTTAGTAGGGGGAGACCTGAGGAGTGTGTAATAAAGGCACCATTTTCAAAGGTGTGGGTAGGGTGTCAGGGAACCACAAGGGATAGGATGGTTCCCTGGGGAAAGTAACAAGAAGCCGTTAGTACCCCTATGCCCAGCGGAATGAGAGGACAGACCTGTCACCAGAACCTGTAAGAGAAAGGTCATGGAGAGAAAGCTGAGAGGAGGGCTTGGGGGTCATGGCAAGTGATGCTTAACAAACACCCCAAGTTCACTCTTTCCTCCCCTCTTCAATCTCGTACTAGGTCAGGCCATTGGCAGAACCCAACTGGAAACCAGAGATTTCCATTGAAACGTTCCGTAAAGTCAGCCTCTCAGTGTGGAGGGAGCTGGGTTGAGAGTGTGTCTGGAGGGAGGAGGAGAAGACGCTCATTACAGCTAAGATCTGCTCTCTGTGGTCACCTTACAAGTTATCAGGTTTGGCAAAGCCATGGAAACTGACATCAAAATGACTAAAATGACTGAGTCTTCCAATAACAAAGGTGAAGGATTTACAGTGACCAAAGTTCTGCGCAAAGGCCAAATGTAGGATGCTCAGCTTCAATGTGGAAATGTAATCAGAACAAGAGGCAAGGGGAGCCTCTTCAAAGCTACCCTGGGCAAGGGGCGGTTTGCTCATCGGAATCCTGAGACTGTCCATTGTGTGGCCTGGATTTCCAGGTCACCACCAAAAAAAGCTGATGTCCTGTGGCTTCTAGTTTATCGGAGTTGAGGGAGAACTTGGCAACTGGTAGGATGTAGAAAATCAAACAGCCATAGAGTTAGGCATCACCTCTATTCAACTAACAAGTAATCTCTAAGTTGGGATCTAGGGTTATAGAGATGAGAAAATCCATGGTCCCTGTCCTGGAGAAGTCATGCCACTTTAGGGAAACCAACAACATGTCAGGAAATAATGACCCCAATCACATGAATATGAGAAGTGTCCCTACTTCTTGCACTCACCTACCCCAACTCTCACTACTTTGAAAATAGAAACGAGAACCCACCGCATCCAGAAAGCCTGCCCTGAATATTCAACTGTGTGGGGCCTCAACCTGCCACCTGGGCCTTTTGCCAAAAGGTGCACACCTGTTTATGCCCTTGGGTTGAATGCACTGTGACCTCCTTAGGACACTGTAGCTCTTAATCTCCCTGCATGCCAGGACCCAGATTTCCTGAGGTTTAGGGATGTGGGCTATAAGACAAGGACAGTAAGGGAGCCAGTCATTCCCATGTTTTTCTTCTTCTCTGTCATCAGAGCCTGGTTCTTATCTCCGGAGCAGACTTGGCAGACACAAGTGGCTACTCAGGTAACAGCTGAAATCAGTTTTATCCACTTAGCTGCTCTGAAGAGTTTAGGGAGAGGCCAGGAGAAACGTGTGCACTTACTATCTGGTACAGCTGTCATCAGAGCTGTTTATTGCTCCAGAGTCTGGGAAAATCATAATAGGGCTGGACAGTTGTTATTTAAAAACAAAACAACAAAGTGCATTTTGACTGGCGTAACCACGAAGCTGGCAGATCACAGAGGGAGGTTTGGCAAAGAGGATTCTCTCAAGTCCTCACACGGACATCTCAGAAGCCCAGCCTAGTGGATTAAATAAACCAATGGCTCGAACACAAAAAAGGGGAAAAAGTTTTGTACAAGTTGCCCCACTTTCAGTGCCTGCAGGCCCAGCAAGCATAGCTAAGCTTTCTGAGCAATGGAGACTCTGGAAGGCGTAAGGCAAGAAGTGACAGAACGGGGGAACGTTACAAACCAGGGGCTATTTGGAATGCCTGGAGGCATTTTTGGTTGTCATGATGGTGGGGGTGGTGGGAGGTGTCTAGTGGCTGGTCAGGGATCCCACTCACCATCCTAAATGCACAGGACAGCCCCTCACAGCAAAGAATTATCTAGCCAAAATGTCAGTAGTGCCGCTGTTGAGATACCCCAACTGAGATAGCGTATAATAAAAGTTGATGTGTTTTTACCTCTTACCCTGTGCCAGACATGAAATAACTTACATGCTTTATTCTTGTTTAATCTTAGCAATAACTCTGTGAGGCAGGTTTATTATCCCTTACCTTATAGACGAGGAAGCTGAGGCAAGGAGACCATAAGCAATGTTTCCGAAGTCACACGGTTGGTGAGGAGCTGAGATTCACAGCGAGGCAGTTTAACTCCAGAGCTACCGGTGTGACCACTCACCTCCCTCACGCACCTCCCTGGGGTCATTCCAGCTCCAGCCTCCAGGCTGGAGGGGCAGTGAGGAGCCGGGAGAGGGCTTCCGCTGTGATCCCTTCCAGTCAGGATGGGAGCCTGGACTAATACAGTACTAGAGAGCTGGAGGGGCCTAGAATAAAAGATGCTACAAAGTTCTGAGACAGCAGTATCCCTCCTGTAACTGGTCCGAGGTTGGGGTAAGCTGTTATCCTGCCTTGGACGTCTCACAAACCCCCAGAGCAGAGAAACATCATCCCTGCCCACTCAGCTCCTCCTCAGCTGCCAATGATTGATTTGGCTCATTCTCTACTCAGCCCCACACAGCTCAGCAGGGCTGCAAACCAGATATCCAGCATTTCATTTTGATGCTTGCAGGAGGAAGAGCAAAATCACCTGCAAGGTAAAAGAATCAACACATCCGTATCCTGGATCTTATGCTAGCAGCATTTTCCTCTCCTCCAGGCCAGGGGTAGGAGCCATGACTGAGAGCCAACAGCTGGCCAGGGAGACCACAGAATTCTGGTTCACATTCCTGCCTTCGGAGCCACAGAGTCGAGGCTGGGTAATGTCCCCCTAGGGCCGGAGGTTCTCCTGACTCTGTCCCCTCACCTTGGGGCAAGGGCCCCACCCTGTAGGATACCATGTTGGCCAGGCTGGTCTCGAACTCCTGACCTCAGGTGAACTGCCTGCCTTGGTCTCTCAAAGTGCTGAGATGACAAGCATAAGCCACTGTGCCTGGCCCCATTGTGTATCTTTTATTACTTACTCCCCTCCCACCTCTTCCTCCAAGTCCCCAGAGTCCATAATATCATTTTTACGCCTTTGCATCCTCATAGCGTAGCTTGCACTTTAAGTGAGAGCATAGGATGTTTGGTTTTCCATTCCTGAATTACTTCACTTAGAATAATGGCCTCCAGATCCATCCATGTAGCTGCAAATGCCATTATCTCATTTCTGTTCATGGCTGAGTAGAAGTCTACGGTATTTATACAACATTTTCTTTATCTACTCGTTGGTTGATGGACATTTAGGATGGTTCCATGTTTTTGCAATTGTGAATTGTGCTGCTATAAACATGCATGTGCCAGTCTTTTCCATAGAAGGACTTCTTTTCCTTTGAGTAGATACCCAGGAGTGGGATTGCTGGATCAAATTGTTTGGAGAGTCCTTAAAGAACTAAAAGTAGAACTACAATTTATGTATTTTTCAATCATCCAATCCCCTCTTCTATCAAGACCTCAATACCTATGTCATGCCTCAGCCTCCACAGAAATTCTGGAACCTTCACCAAGCTAAATAAAGACTGAGATGCAAAAATCATGGGATAGGCAGAGGAAGAGTCAAGGAGGGCCTCCCAGGCAAACCTACAACATTGGGCAAAATAGGGTTAGTTACATTACTTAATAATAGACACATTTTCAAGGCACAACTGGAGTACGAGTTCTCTTCCAAACAATGGGCATGTACATTTGGACCAGCTGTTTTTCCTCCATTAAATGAGGCTCTTGGCAACTGTGCTGGCCTATCAAGTAGGTGTCTGTGAAAAATGAGGTATCTTTGGGGCATTTAGCCTCTCCCCGCTGAGCCTCCAGCACGGGGCAGCAGTGATCGTCTTTGGCTGAAACTGTCCTGGGCCTGGAGAGTGGTGAGGGGCGGAAAGGGAGAGTTATACTGGGACACTGTTTACAAGAGGTTCTAGAACCCATCATAAGGGAGAAAACAACTGAATTGGCCAGGCACTTACACTGGAAATGGATGAACCAGCATCCTTGTCATTTCTTTGGATATTTATCCATATTCTGGATGGTTGCAGCCCAACAAGGAATTAAGAGCCCAGCTCTCTGACGGGCTGGGGGACATAACAGGGGAGTGGTGTGACACTGTCTAGGGAGTTAAGAGTTGCACATAATAGGGTGATTGCAAACTTTTAAAATCGGGCGGTTGGCAAAGGTCATTGAAGGCACAGTCAAGCTATGGCCTGGATCTTGCAAGACGAGAGCAAGATCTTCATCTGAGAGCAAATGAAATCACAAGACTCACAAGGACAAACTCCTAAATGCAATCAAGCTAAGGCAGGGCTCTCCACCTTGGCTGCACAGCAGAATCACCTGGGGAGCTTTAAAACCTACAAACCACAGTCTCAGGGGCTGGGGCCTGGGCACAGGGATTTATTCCAGGTGATTCTAATGTGCAACTAAGGTTAAAAACTACCTGGGTTAAGGAGAGTTTGGGAAGCCTCGGAGTGAAATATTGGTGCAGCACACACCCTTCTGGATTCTAGCTTAAAAGCAATGCCCCTGCAGATAGGGATCTAGCTTGCCCCCACAATGAGAAGGGGGAACTTATCCCTATCTGCAGGGTAAGGACAAGGTAGGCAGGGACCAGGGTATCCATAGGAGGGCAAGAAAAGACCCAGGAGGGAGAGGGCTACCCGTCCAGCTACAATGCTTCACCCCCTCATCTCTGTGCCCTTGTCTTGAGTCTGATCAATAGGTCTGCAGGTAAGAGTCATGGAAACAGGCAGGGTGCCAGACACAGAGGGCGGGAAGAAGGAACGGAGCCTTGCTTTATTAAATTTCAATTTACAGAGTGCTGGCTGTGACATCCAGAACGTGTATTAGAAATGGGCTTTTTCCTCTTTTTCAAAGAACAAGCTGCAGGCCTCTCTGCAGACAGGCAGGCTGATTTAAGGGTTTGGTTATTGGTCATTAACCCCTTGACACAGAGGTTCGTTACAGTGCTGAGGGCCACAGTGTGCTGATGCTAAATCAGAAATGAAGGAGAGTCATTTCCAGAATGATCTTATGTTCATCAACCACAGCATGAGGTCCACGTGAGGAACGGGAAGCATTTATAAGCACCATTCTCTATTAGTGTGATGACATACAGGTGTAAGGCTGGGTTTCTAGCTCAGGGCTTCCTCTGTGAACCCATTTCCCTGGTGGAGGGGGAACAGGTGAGGCTGAGCACAGGCACACGAATCCCTCAGCTTTTTGGGGAGAGGTTTATAACTGGAATTCAGCCTCTCAGTGAGGAGTTGATCCCAATCAATTCAACAAACACCCTTTGTGCCTCTCAGGTGCAGGGGCTGGCCTGGGCATTGGGAAAGCAGAGAGGAGACGGGGAGCCCCTCCCTCAGGGATTCTCAGCCTGGTGGAGAGACAGACATGCTGGAGGATGGGTAGAATATGTTCATGGCCAGCTTACAACAGATGGGTGGGCAGCGTGCTGGGGTGCCCCAGAGCTGGAGTAACAGTCTCTACCTGGGGCTGTCAGTGAGTAATGAGTCTAAAGAGAACAGCCTAAAGAGAGAGTAGTTTGCCCAAATATTTGTCAAGGACAAGGGACTTCTAGCAGAGGAAACAGGCAAACACAAGCCACAGAAGCTTGACAGTACAATGCCATTTAAGGAATGATAGTGCCAATGGGATGAGGTGGGGAAGAGACTGGGTAGCACCCCGCTGGCCCCCAGGGAGCTGTGACTCAGATCCGTGAGTGCCCCCACTTGTTAGCACATCTGAGGGGCTCTAAGAGTCTTCTGACTCTAAAACATCCAAGGAGCCTGGAAGCAAGCTTGGCCTGGAGGTGCCTCGGTGTGGTTGAGTATAAGACAAAGAATGGGTGCCCCATTTTACTGGGATTGCTGGTGAAGTCTCCCTTTTTCTGCAGCCTCCGGGTCTGTCTCTAGGGACCAGCACTTGCAAACACTCCTGATCTAGGCCTTAGCCCCTCACCCAGATTCTTTTGCCACTGCTCCTCCCTTTCCTCCTCCTGCCCTCTGCCTGCATCCCCAAGACCAGCCTGGCTGCCTGGGACAGGCTCCTGCCTCAGTGGCTCTCTCCAGCAAAGTGCCTTGACACAGATGGGAGCTGCAAACAAAAGCCACGTCAAGCAGAAACACACTGCCATGGGACCGATCACAGAGGAGGCCGAATCAATAACAATGGCCAGGGTGGTAGGCCGGGCCCCCGTCGTTGAAGAATTGGACTTGGCTCAGGGAAAGGATATGCGCAGGATGCGTGCTGCTGTCAGAACAAAACCAGACAGCAAAGAGCCGCAAAGGGCATGGAGAGCGACACTGCACTTGGATATCTCCGGTGCTCTGGAGATGCAGTCATTGCACTCAGTCTTAAAAGGCAGAGAGACTGACAGCCCTCAGTGGCTGTCCTTCAAAACATACTTGGCCCATCAGCAACCCTTGAGAAGACCATCATCAGATGTGGAACATAGCAAGGGTGTGGTGGCAATCCCCCTCAGGGCTCAGCCTCTCCTGGATATAGGACAAAGCTAGAGTGACTCCTGGAAAACCCATCCCATTCACTTTGACAGCATAACCTGGTGTCAGCCCTGTTTGTGGCTGTAGCGGATACTTTTAGTGCCTCACCCATGCATCTGGGCACTCCCCAGCCCTGGCTGTGTGAACAACCTCCTCTGTCGGCCCCTGCTGCCCTCTGCCTGGGGGCCTTTTCTTGCTGCAGGAGCTTGCCTTTCCTGTACCTAGCTCCAGGAGCAGCCCCCAACCAATGATGGATGGAAGCTGGTGGACAAATAACCCATCCTTCTTCCTTCTTGGGATAATTTGGAGACATGTTCCCTACAGGCCTCCAGAAATCCCCAGCAGCACTGGCACCAGTGGCCCACATTGCTAACCTGTGCATTCACATGCCATTGATTGGCCTTTCTTTCTCCCTTGGCTCATGTTTCCACTGCCTTACTAGTGCTTCTAGAACTGCCTTCCAGATACATTACTTGTCACAAACCCTTGTCTCAGGATCTGCTTCTAGAGAAACCTGACTCAAGACAATGCTGGCCCATGGCTAGCTCCACCTGTGGCCATTATGCCCAGGTCCTCAGCACTGACACTAGATAGAGGCTGAGCCCAAGCCTGTCACTGGACTTGGGCCCTTATCGCAACCTCAGTCAGCAGTGGGGCTCACACACACCAGACTTGGTGCTCCTGAGCCTTTTGGGGACTCCACATCTGACAGGCCACCTTTCAGTGCAGCAGCCATGATGACACCTGAGGTCCCTGCAAGGCAGACCTGGGGCTCTGAGGAACAGCTGCACCCTTCTGACCTGGGACTGTTCATGGGACACCATCACACAAACTTATCTTGCCAATCCTTCTCTGTAGGTGATGAGGTCATCCGGAGATAAGGGACACCTTTGGTAAAAAGCACATTTCATCCTCGCTTTGACCCTCAGGAAGTACCTGCCTCTAGTAATTTAGCACACACCCCTTGTCAGCCTGGCTGACAGTGACCCATTTCCTCTGAAGATGGCTCTGCCTAGGGCTTGGCCCAAATGGTCTATGCTCTGGGACTCTGCCACCCTGCCCATCAGTGAGAATGGAGCTGTTACAAAGAGCCAAGAAGACTTCTCCCAGGAATTTAAAACCTGAAAGAGAAAGACATAGAAAAGTAGCCCTGAAGCTAAGACACATTTAGGGCAACTCTCTAGGGAAGAGCCATGAATTTTACTGCTGAGGCCCCTGGAGCTGTCCTAGTTCCTGCCTTTCCCCTCGACCTTTCCTCTGAGTCTAAAAAGGAATCGCCCCAGGTTTTCTCTAGAACATTCACCCTTTGTCTTTACCTTAAGCTACCCAAATTTGTTTTATTTGTTGTTGATAATGACCGCCCCGCAAATTAACAAATACAGTTAACTTGTTCATTAGTAAGTTCTCTATGTTCAAGAAATCTCAAACACCTGATATCTGACTACTGGGCTCTATTTTGGAAGGTATTGCTCAAAACACTTCATAGCTGTGTCTGCTTGTCTGGCATAAGCTGTGCCTACTCACTCACTCACAAACAGCAAAGAGGGTGCATATCGTATGCACTGAGGAATACTTCCCCTGACACTCTTTTCACAAACAATAGTCTGCCCACTCTGCATCAGCTTGTGACAGTCAATTCATACTTCTTAACTACTCTAACAGATTGATTTGTTGTTCAAAATAGTCTCTGCCCTCTCCTATGATGCTTCTTCCTGTATTCCCCTCCCTACTGAGCTATTGTACATCCCCACGTCATTAATGTCAGACATGGCCACATGACTAGCTGGAACATGAGTGTGAGTGACAGATGTCATTCCCAATCAGAAGCTTCAAGAGCAATATGTGATATATCGACTGTCTTTTTGTTCTCTGCCACTGGACCTGCAGCATCCTAGAAAGGAGCTGCCCCTTTGGCCCTAGAAAAAGTTGAGATGACAGAGCTGAAGTTGAATGACGACGACCATGTAGCATGAGTAAGAAATAAACACATCTTGTAATCCACTGAGATGTGGGGACATCAGCTTAAGATGACTGATAAAAAAAACGACACTAGAGGAGGGGTACTGCCAAACCTTAAAGTATGGGCACTGACTTTAAGGCCAGAGGTAGGTGATGAGTTAACCACCACTGGAGGCTGGAAAGATGGTGACCTCATCTATACAACCATGAGACGGTTGGTGAAATCGCTTGGTAAGATATAAATATCTTAGTTGGCCTGCAATATCTTGGTAGACTGATAATATGGCAAGTGAGCCCGTGCTTAGATGCAGAGTGTGCCTTTTTAGTATCAGTTGCTTTTGACAAGATTCTGCAAAAGAGAGATAAGGTCAGGGAAGAAACAGACGTGCAGTAGGGCCCAGTAAGCCACTGAGATTTTGAGGTCATATATTACTGGAGCATAAGACAGATTGAACTGACGGACAGCTCCCTTCCCCAATAATCACACCAAAATAGAACTTCTAAATGTGATGCATGCTCTTAAGGAAAAGTACAAGAAACTTTGAACATAGACACCAATGAGACTTGATCCAATGTGGGTCTCCGGAGGAGAGGGTTGATTCAAGAAAGACTGACTCTGGATCCAAACTGCCTCGCCTCAAGTCCCTGCCCCCACTACCCTTGAGCTGTGTGACTAGAGACAGTTTACACAGCCATTCATCCCCTCAATTTACTTATCAGTGGAAACAGGCTAAAAATGCCGCCAACTTCCGAGGATGTTGGCAGAATTACATGGAAGGATTTGTGCTCAGTGTTAGCTGTCAGGGATGCTACCATAACAGCAGTCACCCCCTTTAGATTCCAAGTTCCCTGAGGGCAGACACCATGTCTGTCTTGCTCACCTTTCTGTCTCTATTAATGAACCTCTGTTTGTTACATGATATACACTCAAAACGTATTAGTTGAATCAATGTGTTAATAAATTATTCCGGGGCATATGGAATCCAGAAATTCATGCAGGTGCACTCCCTGGTGCCTGCCTCATATCCCTCATGCCCAAAACTCCTCTAAGCTGCTCTCTGGCCAGTTTTGGGCCTTGGACATCACTCTCCATATAGCCCAGAGGATTAATGACTTGGATAGAATGGGGTCTCTCCCTAGGACATAGTCTATGCCATGTCTAGACCTTACCTGGTTCTCCTGAGAAATGAGGAGGCTCAATACCTTTTTGGCATACAATAGTTATTTTGCACAGCATTAAGGAGAGCTTAGAATATTCCCAGTGAGAGTGGTGGAATGTGTGTGTGTATGTATGTATGTATGTGTGTATCTCTGTGTGTGTGTGTGCGTGCACATGCGCGAGTATGCACAGATGACATACGGTCAATGTGGGATCTGGACTCAATAGCAATCTTGGTGATCAGAAGGATGTAGGAAAGAACATAGCAATAAAATATGCAGGTTAAGATCCAGGAGGGAGATGTTAACCCAGAAAAAAAAATGGCGTTCATGTGGATAAAATAATCGTGGCTGATTTTAATCTGCAGATATAAATCTCTCTATTTCACTTGATCCAACACCATCTCCATCTCCATTTTCCTTGTCCCTGGGGAAAATATGACCTGCTTTCCTCCAGCTCATGTCTTTATTGGATGTTACAGACCTCAGATAGCAATGCCAGATGGATTGTGCTACGACAGAGAAAGTATTACAAAACTAAGGCCATTCATATTGGGGATCCCTTTTCTTGCCATATCACAAGATGGGCACTCAATATTTCTGAATGAGTGAACAAATGAATAAAATAATACAAAGTGAACATGATGAGGCATTGTGATGTTATACAAATGGCCACAGATTTTTCCCATCCTTGCATACAAACTACTTTGCAATATGACTGCGCAGCTCTTCCCTTCACTTCATTTCTCCCTTTATTGAGTCTGGGTTGTGCTGTGTCTTACTTTGGGCCAATGAAATGTGCATCACCGATGTAATACAAGCATAAACCTGATGAGCAATCATGCATTGTGAGGCTTGAGAACTCAAGCCTTCTCTTGCTGCCCTGTGCCTGCCACCATGTATAGAAGCCTGGCCTAGTCTGTGAGATAACACACACAAGGCCCAGAAGCCCCTCACTCCAGCTGACTGTCAGCCAGTCTCCAGAAACAGAGTCAACTAGCTGACCAGCAGTTGACCACAGATGCCTGAGTCAACTCAGCTGAGACCAGCAGGAGATAGGGCCAGTGTAGCCTAGCCCAAATTGCCTGCTCTCAGAAAAAAAATAGATGTGTCTCAATCTACTAAATTTTGGGGGTAGTTTGTTATATGGTAAAGTGTTCTGATACAGGTACCTCATTTTTACAGGTGTTTGTAAAGTATATGGCATACAAGGTAGGTGTTCAGCAAATTGCATTCCTTTTTATCCCCTCCTGATGGACAAAAATTATTATAATGATAATATTTCCAATTTAATGAGTTCACACTATATGTCAGGAATGCTAAATGCTTTATACATACTTATTTAAATCTTCAAAATAACCCTGGGGAAGAGATGAGGGCATGTCCATTTTGAGATGAAATAAAAGAATGAAACAGAGGTAAATTATTGGATAGCAACAATTTGCTATCAAACAGGAAAACTGGCAGAGCTGGGATCCGAATTCAAGTCATCTGGCCCTAAAGCCCACCTCAACCACCACAATGCCCTGCTTCTTCAAGAGGGAAGAAGGAAAGGTTCTGATGCTACCCCTTTCCACATGTGGCCCCCACTTTTGAACTGTTCTCTGCTTTTGCTGGTGCACATCCCACTCTTTCTTCCTTTAAGGTCCCGAAGCAGTTCTTTAGGAAGGCATCCTTGACCTCCCAAGGTCACTACTACCCAGCCCTCTTTTCTTCATGGCAGCTGGGATGCTGATCACTTCCTTTGGCACAGTGGAAACTCCATATAGCCCTGATGGTCCTGGACAGAATGTAGCATGAAATACAGGAGCAATGTAATGGGAACAAAATTCAGTTGCCATGAGGACAGACAGAGTTTTGGAAGCGGGCGCTTTGTCCTGAGCACAAAAGCTGGGGGCCAAGGGTGACAACAGTGGCTGCATTACAAGGAGATGTGGTTTCTCTCAATCTGATTCTGATACCCACTTTCTCTAATACTCCCAGTTCATATGGAACTTCCTTGTGGCTTTACCTTAGCCACAAGAGTTACCTTAGAGGAAACTCCAGTGGAAGATGGATCATGAAGACTCCCTGGCAGAAAAATCTTCAATGATTCTATCTCCATATACCACTCTACTCACCATTTCCTGGCCTGGCAGGAAGAACCTCATCATGTAGTTCGATGGTGGAAATCACATAGCACAGATTTCCTGGATGACACCAGTCTCAGATATTCATTTCATTGTCTATTTTCATGAAGATATGTTACTTTCAATAAAGGCAATTCACTAAATGTGTCCCTACATGAGTTTTAATTTTTGTTGTCCTTGTGGGGGTTTCTTATCCTCACTCCACCCCTGATATGCTCTGTGCTTCTTCCCCAGTTGACCTTCCCTTCCTTGCCCTCCCTCCTAATCCTTTTCTTGAGCCTTCTGAAGCCTCTTATCAAACCCACAGTATCATTCCAGGATGGCCCTTTCCAACAAAACAAACCTTTCCTTTCCCACCAAACAAGGCTCTTCCTGGAGGATGCTATTATTCGTGTGTTTTTGAATGTGCTGAGTCTCTAATCAGGACTCAGGAGCTGACATTCTCCTCTCCCCTGGTGCCTCTTCTACCCGTACACTCTTCCATCCTAGTATAAAAAACACCTCCTCCGTAAGAATCAGACATCACACACCATTGCCCTCTGTCCATGTTGTTCTTCTCACTTACGTGCCAGGCAGTCAGCTATGTCCATCAGGGTCTTTGGCACTAGGCTCACAGCTTCCTCTACATCACACTGGGCAGCATTCACATTGCACTGTGGCCTCAATTATGGGGTGGTGTGCTGTGTTTCACTTTAGCCCACCCACACCTAGACCCCAGCTCTTAGTGCCCCAAACTACTTTACCTGTGAAGTCTAATCCACCATTGCCCTATTTCTGCCCAATCACCTTGCTGTGATTTGACTGTGCCCCACAAAGTTCACATGTTGAAAACTTGATCCTCAATGTGGTGGTGTTGGGAGGTGGGGCCTAATGGAAGGTGTTTGGGTCACTGGGGCACTGCCTTTATGAATAGATTAATGTCATTATCGAGGGAGTGGGTTCCTTATAAAAGGACAAGTTTAGTCCCATCTTGAGCCCTTCTTTCCACTCTTCCACCATGGGATGACACAGCAAGAAGGCCCTCACCAGATGCTAGCCCCTTGATATTCGCTTTCCCAGCTTCCATAGCTGTGAGCTGATACATTTCTGTTCATTATTAATTTCTTAGCCTCAGGTGATAGCAACACAAAATGACACACCTATTAATCTTGATTACCCACTCTCTTACTTCCCAATGCCTGCTCATCAACCTAATTGAGGCCTTTGAAATAATAATTTTCTTTCTTTCCTTCTATACTTACCACTCTTTCCTGACCTCTCCCTAGAAAGGCTGCACCCAATTTTCAATAATGACACTCTTGCTAGCAGTTTCAGTTTTTAAATTCCTTACTTTTTCTGCCTTTTACACCCTGTAAACTCCACCTCTGTAGCCTCGTTCACCTTCTCCACACCTGTTCCCTGGATGCTAGCACTACCAGAGAAAATTCACGGAACTGAGTAAATTAAATCCACCACAAACTCATGATCTTTAACCTCAACCAGGTACTTCAACACAACCTAGCATTACTTCTTTGGGTAACTGCTTAGCAGCTGAGCCACTTTCACTCTGCAGGGTTTCTAAACCTTCTCCATTCTCTCACATACCCAGATCCCCTTATGCTGCAAACTATCACCTTCAGTTGCAAGACAGCCTGCAAACTTGTTCCTCCTGGACCTCAGCAGAAGTTCATTTCCTGTCGTCCAGGACCACCCCACCTCTTCTCACCCTGTCCCTACCCCCAGGGATATTGCTTTGTTAATTGTCCCCCTAAATATATCAGATGTCTTTCTCTACTTGTTTCTTCCCTTCAGTTGCAAAATATGTTCCCTTATTGTTTTCTTTAAAAAGCAAATCCAAATGCACACCTCCTTTCAACCCCACATCCCTTCTGATGGCCAGGACCCCCATCCCTTCACAGCAAATTCTAAGCAAAAGAAGTCTATACTCGCTGGCTCCACTTCCTCATTTGCTTCCTCAGATAGAAGTTTTCTCACTGCCATGTCCTCCCAGACATTCCACAACCAAGGCACACATTATGAGGGATGAAATGCTCCCTTGGATTCAACTGTCCTCAGGTCCCAAGGATAGGGTGAACCTTGCCACCCTAGAAGACCCCAGAGGGGGCAAGAAGATGAACACTGGCTCATTCTATTTTGTAATCACCACTTAAAAAGCTTTAATTTTCCATTAATCTAGTTATTCCTTTGTTCAACACATATTTGTTAAACACCTGGAATGCCCCAGGAAAATATGATTAGGTGACTTCTGAATAACCCAGCATATTCCAAGGATGCTAAAAATGCTGCTTGGTGGCAGAAGAGACACTGATAGAAGGAGATGCAAATCTATTCTGTAGCCCAGTTGTACAAGAAGCAAGACCAGCAAGTCCTTTTTGCTGCAGAAAAATAATGTTATAAAATTTCTCTTTTAAAATGTGTCCTTCACCCAAGCCAACCTCCACTCCCACACGTGTGTCTGCATTTAACAGTGCATTTTTGAGCAAGAAAACAAAAACAACTAAAGCTGTTCTGGTGATTGATTTAGAGGACCCAGCTCTGCTTAAATTCCCAGTATATTAAGACAGTGCTAACCTCAAGGACTCCACCAAAGCTCTACCCTGGCAGGGCTAATGCAGAGCAACAAACCGACTTCAGAAAAAGCATCTGGGACAAAGGCAATGTGGTGACAATTGGGTTACTTGGGAAAATCAAATATAAGAATCCATTTATGCCTGTGATATATTCTGAACACATCTCCTTAGGAACTGTCTTGAAATAGACAAGCATATCCTTAAGCTGCCCTGATATAAACATTATTCAGATACCCACACTCAATGCCGCCAGCCATTCCCAAATCCCAGAGCTTCTTTATTTACTCTCCTTTCTCAGATTCTCAGCCGGGGGTGGGTACCACTTCCTCCAGGGGCCTTTTGGAGGTGTATGGGGATGTTTTAGTCTCATATGGACACTGCTGGTGTCAGGGTCCAAGAATGGTAAGCATCCTACATTGAACAGGACAGTCCCACGCAGTAAAGAACTGCCTCACCCAAAAAGTTGGTGACACTCTACTAAGAAATGGGACAAAAGAGCAGCAGCTCAAGTACCCAACTTCTTGAAGGCCTACACTTGGTGCAAGGGACATCACAGGAAAGCCTCCCCACTTCCTGCTTCAAATGAAAGAGGAAGTGCCTTCAGGGAGGGCATGGTACCCAAGCCATTAGGGTGATGGAACTCTTGCAACTTATACTCTGTCACTGGCTTGCTGTTCATATCCTGGACCCTCCTGGGTGTGGTTCTGCAAGACTGTCTTGAATGGGGGAATGAATTATAGAAAGCTGAAAGGGGAAGTGTTAGTGAAAGCAGCCCTGCCAATCCTTGGGGTCTGAGGAGTTTACATGTTTCCTGCCTGGGGGTTGAGTCAAATGGAAAGGCAGGTCAGCATCATGTGCTAGCATGACTTGGTGGCAGGAGAGACACTAACAGAAGGAGGTGTCCCCTGCTCTTTCCCAACCTGTGCCCATAGCAACTGGTCCATCATCAAGAAAGATAACCAGGAGCTGGCTTCTATCCCGGTAGGGGAAGGCACATCTCTCAAGCTCCCATCCCAGGTCTCCATACAAAGATACTGAATGTGATAAACAGATACAGATTCTGCCAGCTCTTATCTTGACTAATAATAACTAATACTAATACTAGAATAACAGCGATTACCTGGTTGATTGAGGGTTTCATGTGTGCCAGCCTTGGTGCCAAGCATCCTATTTTCTGCTGATCCTGAACAATGTAGGGGTTAGGGGTGCTGACTCCCCATGCCATTGGAAATCCACGTATAACTTTTGACTCCCCCGAAACAACTGCTAACAGCCTACTGTTGACCAGAAGCCTTACTGATAACATAAACAGTTAACACATATTTTGTGTTTTATGTGTATTATATACCAAATTCTTACAATAAAGTAAGCTAAAGAAAAGAAAATAGAAATAAGAAATTTCAAAATGAGAAAATACAGTTACTATTTCCTAAGCGGAAATGAACCATCATAAAGTTCTTCACTCTCCAAAGAATGGTGGGTGGAGGGCATCTTTGTGTTCAGCAGGCAGAGGAGGAGGAAGAGGAGGGGTTGTCTTGCTGTGGCAGAGGCAGAAGAAAATTTGTATCTAAGTGGATCCATGTAGTTCCAACCCATGTTGTTCAAGGGTCAATTGTATCCCTCCCCTTAATCTTCACAAAGCCTCTACAAGGTAGATGGCTTTAACCCCATTTTACAGATGAAAAAACAGGCTGGAGATTAAGGCTGGGAATTTTCAAGGGCTGTGTGTCTGTGCAGGCTGCTAGGAGAGCTCTGTGTGGAAGACTGGCTAAGCCTTCATTTACATAAAAAAAATCAACAACTTTCTTAACATTCATTCAGGAAACAGAGGTGCATTGAGTGGCTTCCCTGTGCCAGGTGGTGCACTAGGAACAAGGGGCCACCTGGAGAATAAAACAAAGGCCTCGCCCTGGAGGAACTCACCATCTAATGGTGGAGAAAGACCATCAGGTGTAACAATTCACAAATAATCACCAAATCCAAGAGCTGTGAAAAAATCAGACAAGGTACAGAGATCTAAGAATAACAAGTAAGGGCACCTTAGATGGGATAATCAGGAAACACTGCCCTAAAGAAGTAGGCTTTGGGCTGAGGCTTGAGGGATGAGAAAGGGAAGAAGGGAAGTGGGGGGCTTTGGCTCTAATGCTCAAGCCCTGGAATGCTGAGATTAGATATCTCCCAATGGGGAGATGGGTACCTCAATTCCTCAGAGAAAGTGGAGAACCTTAAAGGCAGGAGGCGTGTGTAGACAGCCTTCACAAGCCAGAAGGGAGCTTATGAGCCTGTAGCCTGCAGCCTGTGACCAAGGCCAGGGTGGATGGGGAAGGGTAGCACTGATTGAGTGATGTTTTCAAATCTCCTCCAACCAAATCTTAGAAACCTGCTGTCAGTACTGTCAGGGAGAAAACTGCAAATTAGATTCAGTTTTCCTTGAGATCCTAAGGAGAAGAGTATGCCTGGGTAGTTGACTAACCAGGAAGTCCATCCCATATTCTCACTGCAACCTTCACTCATTAGCAAGTGTGCACTGCACGTTGCCTGTGTGCCTAGCTGGCATCACACCACCCTGTGATGGCTTATTGTTCTGTCTCTTTCTAGAGAACTTCCTGAGAGCGGGAGCCACGTGTTAACTAAACCAGGGAGACAGTATTGAGTCATGGCTCTGAGTATGGGGTCTGAAGTTAGGCAACCTGGGTTCCAAACCAGGTTCTACCACTCAGTAATTGTGTAACCTTGAGCAAGTTACATACCTGCCTTAAGCCCCAGTTTTCTCACCTGTAAAGACTGGATAATAGCAGTGCCTACTTCAAAGGGCCTTTGAGAGTATTAACCGAGCTTACATTCACAAAGCACCTAGAAACAGTAAGCAACAAATGCAAGCTACCTTTAATAATCATGAATGTTTGTTGAGAGATTACTCCAGTTTGAACAAGAGACCAATATTACTGAGCCCAGTTCTGTGCCTGATTTGGTGCTAGGCACATGCAGGTTTGTTACTTTATTTAACAGCACCCGCCCCCATTTTACTGATCAGGATGGCTCAAAGAGCTAACGTGACTTGTCAGAGAGCACAGAGCCAAGGAGGGATCTAAAATCAGTTCCTCTGTCACTGGGCTTGGTGACCTGTCCCCAAGGCCAGAGAGGCCTGGGAAGCAAGACTCTCCAAAGAATGGTGGGTGGAGGGCAAGAGACTCAGTCTTTCTCTCGTGAGTGAGTCTGAACATGGGCCCACTGTGGAGCTGCTAATGACTGCTTCTTCCCAGTCTGCAGGAGCTTAATAAAAGTCATGCAAAACTCACTGTTTACAACTCTAATTGCGGAGTTTGGACATGAAGTGAAAAACATATCATGTGGAATGAATAACAAATCAAGCAGCTCCTTTTTTTAGCATGGAAGCTGCAGGAGCAGCCCAGAGTTCACCATCGCTTGGTGCAGAGAAGGTTAGCACTGCGGCACTAACATCTGTGTGCCTATAACATCCGTGGGCTCCCTCCCTGTCTGCCTGCACCCCCCACACTGAGCTGATGTGTCCAGGCAGGAGACGGCTGGTCTGCCTCTCTTTTGCAACTCCGAAAAGAGAAATGGAAATAAGGTTCTTTCTAAACACAGGGTGCGAAGCTGGCTGGGTGCTCACCTCACCCAGAGAATGGGCACCAGCTCTGGGTGGCCTGAGAATCAGGGATAACTGCAGGCAGATTCCAGTAGGCAGCTGTGAAAGTCCTTTGGGCCATGCCCGTGGAATCTAAGGAGGCAGTGCTGCTGGAGAAAGCAGGGCTGCTGGATGCTAGCTCTCCTCTTCCCAGCCTTCACCGTGGGAGCAGTTGCTCCTGGCTGTGACACAGTAAAACCTATAATCATGTTCTAGGACTTATGGCCTACACACTGAACTATTGGTGGTGGGACCTAGGGACATCTTTACATGTTTGAGCCAAATGAGGATAAGCTGTCAGGTAGTTTTAAGATTACATCAACTGACATACTGAAAGTGTCTAGCAGAGATGGACACATACTAATTATGTGTGTGTGTGTGTGTGTACATACAGAAGTAAATGCATAAACACATATATAAATATTATATATTAAGACATAAAAATAATATAACCCACAGTTATATGGTATTTCTTATGAACTAAACTTTAAGTTATAGATACTTGAGGTAAAGAGAAATTATGTATTCTGTCCCAGGTCACAAGTCAACCAGTGGCAGAGCTGAGATTCACAGCCAGGTGAACCTAGCAAGGTCCGTTCACGTCCTTTCAGTGGGGTCATCAGGAAGGAGTGAGACTACAGGCTGGATTATTGAAACTCACTCCGTCATCACTTACCCATGAGCAGACAGTCAGAAGAGCACGTTCCTGAGCTCTGGAACACAGGCAAGGATACGTTAGGCATGGGGTCTTCATGGATTCTCAAAGGGCTGCTGGAATGAAGGGAGCCACCCCAGCCCAGGGACACTGGAGTGGGGATAACCGCAGGTTTTCAGCCCAACTCTTAGCCTCCAATGTCCCCTTTCTTCACCCGTGGACAGTTTGCTCTTGGGTGAGGCATAGTAACACCTACCATCACCATCACATGTGGGGCACTGGGCCAGGCACCACGGCATACAGGCCATCACATCCCTCACAATACTTCAGTGATGTGCAAGTTACATCCCAGTTTTACAGATTATGAACCCAACTGAGGTTAGAAAGATCAGATCACTTGCCCCTGTCACACATGTGGTACGGGCAGAACGGGGCCTGGACCCCAACCCTTATCTGACCTCTTGTCTGCACTCTTTCTACCGCATTGCACATCCACCAATGCCCTGGGTCCTCTGGAGCAAAGAACACCCCCTCAAACAACCACCCTGCACCGAGAAACGGAACGTGCGGCAAGCAGAAGCTGAGAGCCTCACAGGGCCAGTCCCCACATCACCCTGTACTGATGTGAACGGTGGTCCCTGGAACCAGGCGAGGTGACAGCTCAGAGGACAGTAAGTACAGAGACCCAATTAACCCTATCTGGATTAGCCCCTAAATAATGCAGAGCTGGAGGTGACCAGGCAAAGCTGCAGGAGTGTGTGAGGCTCCCCCGAACACTACCCTGTCAGGGCTCCCAATACCATTCACCAGCAGGCGCCTGAGCAATGGAACCACACGCCACAGAGTCACGGAGGGCACAACTTCATAATGGTAAAGCCAAGAAATAAACTCAGGGCGTTTTCCAAACTGCACAGCCACCCAGTGTCTGGTATTCTTATTTATTTACAGACAAAAATCATAGAAAACTGGAGAAATTTGCCAAAGGCCAGAGTAGTGGCTAGACATTTAAATTCTTGGCTCACAAAGGAAAACTTTTGCAATTGTCTCTGAGATGTGACGTGAAAGGTCTGGGGGTGCAAGCACAATCCATGAGAGGTCTTTAATGCCCCTGCAGACACTGGGGCCAATACCACGCAGGGGAGAGGTGATGGCTTCATGGAATTCATCTCCAGGTTAAAACAGAGTACTTCTTTCATCTCAACTCTAATCTTTAAACCTTGAGTCAAAGCACTTCCTGAAGCATAAACGTGGCAGCTTTAGTATTTCAAAAACATCAGAAGGAATTAAAGTCGCTTTCATCTTTCTTCTCCTATAACCAAGAATTTACCTTTCCATAGAAAGAGCACTCCCCCGAAACCCCCATATCTTTTACTGTCTAATAAATTTAGGCAGAAAGAACGGGAGAAATCCCCAGACCTGGTTTTATTCCTGCTCTCTCTTTTTGTGGGCTAGTGGGAAGGGAGTGTGGAGCAGTAGGTTGCAAGGTTTCATTGTATAAACTGTGATCATCTAAGTTCCTGCGTCCCTCTCCAGACAGGAACTCCTCCAGGGCAGGGACTTGGGCAAAGCTGCCTTTTTGTCTTATAATGCTTGGCATAAAATAATATTCAACACATGTTTATTGGATGAACAAATGAATGAGTGATTGACTGAATAAAGACCTGGTGGGGAGACCCCACTATTGTATGTTTCCCACCAGAAGAAATTTTCCAGGCTGTTACACTAATCAGGGCTAATATTCTCAGTTATTCTGAGGATTGCTTGAAATTTGCTGCTAATTTAAATAAAATGGTTACGTTTACGCATTAACTAATTAGCATGGTTCTCAGCAGCTTCACCTCACTAATTGGATTAGTTACACTCTATTTTCTCCTATCCAAGGCCTTCTCTGAGACCTGGGAATATCACAACGACAACAGAGTGAACTTTTTCAATGGCATTGAAGCACAGTCTCTCAAAAGGTTTAAACACAGATGTGAAACCTGTCCCTTTGTCCGGCCCAAGATGTCTTTGGGTCTCCAATATTTTTGGGCCCCACTGGATCCCACTATAAGTTGCTCCACAAAACTCTTCCTATCGCTTTTTAATCACAGCCATTTTGACTGGTGGGAGACGGTATCTCTTGGTGGTTTTGATTTGCATTTCTGTGATGATTAGTAATGATGAGCATTTTTTCATTGTTTGTTGGCTGCTTGTATGTCTTCCTTTGAAGACTGTCTGCTCATGTCCTTTGCCCGTTCTTAATGGGGTATTTGTTTTTGCTTGTTGATTTAAGTTCCTTATAGATTCTGGATCGCAGAGCTTTATCAGATGCATAGTTTGTGAATATTTGCTCCCATTCTGTATGTTGTCTGTTTACTCTGTTAATAGTTTCTTTTGCTATGCAGAAATTCTTTAGGTTCCACTTGTCAGTTTTGTTTTTTATTGCCAGACCAAGCTGCTTCTTCAAGGAAAATGAAACTTTCCAAAATATGAGGACTTCATAAAAGACAATCTATCATATGTTTGATGAATGAATGAATGAAACAATGAAGGAGAAACTGGAAGTCAAAATACTGGCATCCTTCCTAGTCCCATCTTTGCCAGTAACTTGCAGTGTGACTTCAGGCAAGTCAGTTCACATCCCAGATGCCATTTTCTTATTATTTATTTATTTTTATTTGTCAGAGGTAACATTGATTTAGAAAATATCTAAGTTCTTGTGACAAAGACAAGACCTGGACACACAGAAAAACCACAACTTGCTACCCCTCTGAGTCAGGCAGGACCATGTTACCAGGTCTGGCCAATGAAATGAGAGAGGAAGTGATAGGAGACACTTTTTGGCCTAGAAAGTGAGAGTCAGGTTTCCATTTCCACTTGGAGGTGACCCGGGTTGGACTGTGTCACCCCAAAATTCATATGTGAAAGTCCTAACCCCCAGTACCTCATAATGTAATCTTATTTGGAAATAGAGTCATTGCAGATATAATTACGTTTGCATGAGGTCACACAGAAGTAGAATGGACCCCTTAATCCAACATGATTAGTATCCTTATAAAAAGGGGCAATTTGTACACAGACACACAGACTGATAATGCCATGAGAAGTATGATGTTAAGCTGCTACAAGCCAAGGGACCAGCAGAAGTTAGGAAAGAGCCTGGAATAAAATCTTTCCTAGGCCTTCAGAGGGAGCTTGGCCCTACTGAGACCAATTTCAAACTTCTCGCAGAATTGTGAGACATGTTCTGTTGTTTAAGCCATGCAGCTTGTGGTACTTTGTTATGGCAGCCCCAGGAAACTTCTGCAGGGGAAAAGGTCACATGGTCAAACTGTGACCCATAAGAGTCACTGAGTCACTAGGGGCCTAGAGTGTCCCTCAACCTTCAACAAACTTTGTGAAAAGAGTAAGAAAAATACCTGAAACCTAGAAATAAGGCAAAAACAAAGAGGGGAGGTGGCCTGTCATTTTAATGTTATCCTAGGACATTAACAGGCACACCCAAGAGTATATAATTTTCCAAGAGAATGTACTCATGTTTGACTTTGCTATTTACCTTTTGATTCTCACTCAGACACTATGAAGTTGTACGCTAACTCCTAGATTTCTGTCTGTGTAGAAAAGATCACATGAAAAGCTATAATTTTATTTCCCCATAGGACATGAACCACTTTTGCGTTTAATCTCTCCATCTTATTTTAACATTTTTCTTTAGAAAATGCCTACAGATACTCAGTTCCTCAAATGCACTCAGTACCTGCTTCACCATCTTACAAAGTCAGCAAGATGAACGGGGCCAGCCTGCAGTCCTGCCTTCTTGCGCTTCCTACACTTTCACCATTCTTGGCCATTGCTGGCTGAAATCCAAGTCATGAAGCTCAAATGTTGCCCATATGTAATGCTCAAGAGAGAAACAAGTTCAAATCTTGGCTATGGTGAAGATTTGAAGATTAGAAAATAGAGAATAGTCTGTTTCTAGCACCAGAATGTAGCTTCATAAGGACAGTCACTTTTTTCTGGTTCATCCCTGTTTCCCAGGGCCAAGAACGGTATCTGGCACATGGATGTTGTTCATTGAAAAGGAGCAATATGGACACAGACATACACGGAGAATGTTATGTGAAGGGTAGAGTTATGCTGCTACGAGCCATTACCTTGATTTGGACAAGGTAATGAACTAAAAAGTCATAGAATTCCAGGGTGCAAGAGCCCTTAGGAATTCCTTACCTTAAGAGCCTACATGATATAAAAATCCTTCAGAATGTCCCCAGAGCCTGCCAAACATGGCTCAGTGCTGATGACAGAGATGTCAAAATAACCTGAGCCAATGATTGGGAACAGTTTCCTCATGCTCAGCCAAAACTCTGCGTCCTTATAATTTGGAAGGAGTTTTAACGTCCCCCTTAAATCTGTTCTCTTTTTAAGCTAAACAATTCCTATTCTATTAATTCAAGGACACGGTCTCGAGTGTCTTTACCAATCTGGTAATAATAACAATAGCCAACATTTAGTAAGCAATGACTGTGTATCAGGCTTTGTTCTCTAAAAACTTTATGTGCATTGATTTATGTAACCCTTATAACAACTCTGCAAAGTTGGCACTACTATATTCTCTCTTATGCTGCTACAAGCCAAGGGGCCACCAACCACCAGCCAATTTCATTCCAGGCAACAAAATTGAAGCATGAGGAGACACTCACCTAAGAGACTCAGTTAGTAAGTGGCATGGCTGGGATTTAAACTCATATAGTCTGGTTGTTAATCACTGTATATTGCCTCAGAAATTGTCTTTCAGCATTTTCAGGCTTCTTATCAAGTGTGATGTTTAGGGATGAATACGTAAGGTTCCATAGGAGAGGTCAGAAATACCATTACCCTGCGTTGCTTTATATTCCCCAGGCAACAATGTGAAGTGCCACCTCCATCTCCTGCAGTTGTACAGTGCGCAACCTGCACAATGGCATGTGACAGTTCCATCCTCGCATGCATGACTTTCCCAAAGCTCTCCTTGTCCTATGTGGCCATGGTAACAAGAAAGATTTTGCTGAGAGCTGCCAGTAGGAGGGGGTGACATCACTGAAAATGCATGTTGAATGTTTGATTTGGGCCAAGTCTGCAGGATTCAAAGGATCTTTGGGGTCCTCACCTTTCTACAGTCTCCTTCTGAGATGGACCCTGACTTCATCCTCAGGTAGCACATCTTAGAGTACCCCTTTTCTTACTCTTCCATGAGCAGTGAACTTCTTGCAGTCTGGAAGATGCCTTTGGGAAGTCTTGCCAGACAGCATCCCCTTACCCTTCACTCATCCCCTACCCCTGCATTTATCATGGGTGGATGTAGGAGCTCAGGTTGGGAATACACAGCCCATCCCCAGGATAACCTTGTCCTTTCCAGCTCTCCCAGCTCAGTGGGCAGGCCACAGCCTCAACAGAGTCCTGCCACAGCAGCATCCCTACCCCTTCCTGGGAAATGTGTATAATCTGAGACTGGTCCCAAACCTCCCTACACAGCACTGACAGTTGTGCATCTGAGCACAGCCTGGCGTGAAAGGTCACCCGGATACCAAGTGCTCCCTGTACAGCCCAGCTGCATGTTCTGTGGCTTTGGGGGATGGGGAAGGGAGACCCAAGTCTTTGAGACTTGCTGCAGCTTCACATCGAGAAGCTTATTTACAAAGGCAGTTCCTAGCATTCCTGGCAAGCACAAATTCACAGTTTCCCAGGCCAACTGAATTTCAAAACAAAAGAATTAGAGATAAGCAGATTGTCAGAGCTGGGAGTGTTGGACCTAAAGAAACCCAGTCCAGCATCATCATCTGCAGACAGAAATACAGGCTCAGATGAAACTCATCAGTGGTGAGAGTGGTCAAAACAATCCTTACCTTTGGGTGGAGGTATGACCAAGAGGACAAATGAGGAAGCCTTCTGGAATCATAGGTTTGAACTTAATGGCGATCGTACAGTGTATACAAAGTTAAGAATTGTGCACTTAAGATCCGTGTATTTTAGTATAAAATTCTACCTCAATAAAATAGTAAAACAAAATAAAAGCCCAGAGAAGATTAAGGTGATGTTGCAATTGTGTGGCAAGACAAACCCTTGAACTCAAGCACCCCAATGCCCACTTCACTGTCCTTTCCTTAACTCCCTTACATTTTTGGTGCCATAGTAACTCAGTGATGCTCCAGTAGTTTATGGGTGGGTTTTCTGTTTTGTTTGGTTTCTTTGAGATGGAGTCTCATACTCTGTCAC